TTTGGGGGCTTCATCCAGGCACTTATGTCGTGGTTGTGGGTAGCTCTGCTACAGGGTGCCGCCTTCGGCGACGTGTATAGCCACGTCATGCATTGCATCAGTGCTGCTGGCTTCAAATCGCCCTTGACCGGGAGGAATGCTGGTACTGTGGTCGCTATACAGTACGACGAGCAGATGCGTAAGGATGCCGGGTGTGCTATGGCCATGAGCTCTCTTTCGATAAGGGAAGCCTGTTCTAGCTTGTCCCGCCTTGATTCCAATAGGCTGATACTACTTATCGGTAAGGCCTCTGATAACCACAATAAGTCATCTTATAACAACAAATCGTCCTACAATAACTCTAGAGGTGGAGCTCACCGTTACGGTGGGAAGAAGAGACCCTTCACTGATGAGGGCGAGGAGCTTTGGAAAAAGGTTAACGGCAAATGGGTCAAGGTTCAAGGCTCGTCGGCTAGTGGCTCTAAGGAGGCCAAATCTGGCGATGTAAGCTGAGCCCTTTTCTTTTCCCCTCACTCCTTCTTTTATGGTCATGTCATCGTCTCGCCCGACCACTCGAATTTAGGTTGTGTTGTTCAGTGTTCACCCGCGGACGTGACCGTCTTTTGGGAAGCGCAGAAGTTCTTATCGGGGGGCTCCTATCACGGGTTCATTGGGGTCCGGATAGGTCGCTCACCGATAATGCGACCTCGTTTGCTGCCGGAATTTCGTCGGATCACACCTATCAAGGATTCATTGGGGGTCTGGATAGGTTGCTCACCGATGAAATCACCTTGATCGGGCCGGCTAACAAGCCCGACCCTCACCCAATCTACGGCGTACGGGCCGCGGGTTTGGGGGTTGGTCAGAGCTAACGTCTGATCCTTTCCCGATCGTGGCGTACGGGCCACAGGTTATTCGGGAAAGGAGGTCAGCGATTCACTTTGTTCCGTGCTTCCCACTGTTTATTGACGGCTCAAAGCGAGACGCTGGAGGACGTTTCATGCTAGGTGAAAACCAAGTGCAACTTGGTTTCCACCGCGGTGAAATGCCTCCAAGTGGATTTGAGCCGGGTACGCCCGGTCAGGGCGCTCGCTCATCACGTAGCGTGATCGATTTTGTTCGAAGCCTCGCTGGAAAATGGGACCGTTCGGTCCATAGGTTTCTTTTCCCACCTCCCGCCCTAGGGTCTGGATAGGTTGCTCACCGATGAAATCACCTTGATCGGGCCGGCTAACAAGCCCGACCCTCACCCAATCTACGGCGTACGGGCCGCGGGTTTGGGGGTTGGTCAGAGCTAACGTCTGATCCTTTCCCGATCGTGGCGTACGGGCCACAGGTTATTCGGGAAAGGAGGTCAGCGATTCACTTTGTTCCGTGCTTCCCACTGTTTATTGACGGCTCAAAGCGAGACGCTGGAGGACGTTTCATCACTGAAATTTAGTACCAAATTGTTGCACCACTTGAATTGTGGTATGCGTTTCATTGTGGAATTCTATGGCATGGTTAGACTCCACACTCGAGGGAACGTGCCTTCTTAGCTTAGTTGGTAGAGCACCCGCTTAGTAAGCGGGAGGTCGTCGGTCCAACTCCGGCAGAAGGCTAGCTCTGAGTCCGTTTGTCGAAAACCGACTGAATTTCGTAATTTTTCACTGAAATTTAGTACCAAATTGTTGCACCACTTGAATTGGGGTATGCGTTTCATTGTGAAATTCTATGGCATGGTTAGACTCCACACTGGAGGGAACGTGCCTTCTTAGCTTAGTTGGTAGAGCACCCGCTTAGTAAGCGGGAGGTCGTCGGTTCAACTCCGGCAGAAGGCTAGTTCTGAGTCCGTTTGTCGGAAACCGACTGCATTTCGTAATTTTTCACTGAAATTTAGTACCAAATTGTTGCACCACTTGAATTGTGGTATGCGTTTCATTGTGAAATTCTATGGCATGGTTAGACTTTAGACTTGCAAGACCGTGCCTTCTTAGCTTAGTTGATAGAGCACCCGCTTAGTAAGCGGGAGGTCGTCGGTTCAACTCCGGCAGAAGGCTTGCTCTGAGTTCGTTTGTCGGAAACCGACTGCATTTCGTAATTTTTCACTGAAATTTAGTACCAAATTGTTGCACCACTTGAATTGTGGTATGCGTTTCATTGTGAAATTCTATGGCATGGTTAGACTTTAGACTTGCAAGACCGTGCCTTCTTAGCTTAGTTGGTAGAGCACCCGCTTAGTAAGCGGGAGGTCGTCGGTTCAACTCCGGCAGAAGGCTTGCTCTGAGTTCGTTTGTCGGAAACCGACTGCATTTCGTAATTTTTCACTGAAATTTAGTACCAAATTGTTGCACCACTTGAATTGTGGTATGCGTTTCATTGAGAAATTTCACGACATGGTTAGACTTTAGACTTGCGAAATCGTGGCTTCTTAGCTTAGTTGGTAGAGCACCTGCTTAGTAAGCGGGAGGTCGTCGGTTGTGAAATTTCAAGACATGGTTAGACTTTACACTTGCAAGACCGTGCCTTCTTAGCTTAGTTGGTAGAGCACCCGCTCAGTAAGCGGGAGGTCGTCTGTTCAACTTCGGCAGAAGGCTTGCTTTGAGTTCGTTTGTCGGAAACCGACTGCATTTCGTAATTTTTCACTAAAATTTAGTACCAAATTGTTGCACCACTTGAATTGTGGTATGCGTTTCATTGTGAAATTTCACGACATGGTTAGACTTTAGACTTGCGTAATTGTGGCTTCTTAGCTTAGTTGGTAGAGCACCCGCTTAGTAAGCGGGAGGGCGTCGGTTCAACTCCGGCAGGAGGCTTGCTTTGAGTTCGTTTGTCGGAAACCGACTGCATTTCGTAATTTTTCACTGAAATTTAGTACCAAATTGTTGCACCACTTGAATTGTGGTATGCGTTTCATTGTGAAATTCTATGGCATGGTTAGACTCCACACTCGAGGGAACGTGCCTTCTTAGCTTAGTTGGTAGAGCACCCGCTTAGTAAGCGGGAGGTCGTCGGTTCAACTCCGGCAGAAGGCTTGCTCTGAGTCGGTTTGTCGGGAACCGACTGCATTTCGTAATTTTCACTGAAATTTAGTATCAAATTGTTGCACCACTTGAATTGTGGTATGCGTTTCATTGTGAAATTCTATGGCATGGTTAGACTCCACACTCGAGGGAACGTGCCTTCTTAGCTTAGTTGGTAGAGCACCCGCTTAGTAAGCGGGAGGTCGTCGGTTCAACTCCGGCAGCAGGCTTGATCTGAGTCCGTTTGTCGGAAAACGACAGCATTTTGTCATTTTTCATTCGAGTTAGCATCATGTCTGACTTTGATACGTCAATCAGGGATAGCACGATAGAGGAGGATTCCTGTAACATGGGGTAACCCTACTTGGACTGTAAGGTTCCACTCACCTAGTCACGAAAACGTTCTGGGCTTGTACTTCCCCACGTGAAAGCGTCCAACGCAACAATATAAACTCTCACGGCTCAGTGCGAAGCGTCTGCGGTACAGTCGAAGCCCCATACGGAGGCGTGCAACTTCCGCAGCTCACGCTTCCGGGGTTCTACATCAGTATGGATCGCAAAAGGATGATTAGACATAAAGTAATAACAGTTTTTCGGAGGTACAAGGACAGCAATGGGAGCCGGCTGCTCCAATACTACAGTCTCAAAAGGAACACCGAGTTGAACGTAAAGGAACCTGATCGTGCAATACCATCAATATCAATATCTCCGGATTTCCATAATACCGTATCTCATCCAATTCGTTGGTGCCTTCTAGAAGAGTAATGCAGGTGCCAGGACGACCAAAGCGTCCACATCGACCAGATCTATGCAGGTATCTGAGCATGACATCAATAATGAGAGTATCTAGCTCTGGGAACTCGTGAGCGTTTGAAATACGTTTCCTTGGTCTCTGGGAGCCCGATATTGATGACCAGATCCACCAGAGGTCCATCGACTCCTCGGGAGAACACCTCGTCTGTAGCTACCACTACTCCATGTTCCTGGGAGCTCAATAACTCCATAGCCACTGAGCGCTCAGCAATGCCTGTAAACGGAAGAATGCATTGGAAATAGCTCAACACAACGATACACGTTGATTTCACCTCAATCTCGTACAAGCTACTAGGACTAAAGGGGCGTGCTGAGTGAGTGACCGTAGCTTACTATGGTCTTCTGAGGTCTCCACTACTCTGCATGATGAGGACACATAGTCACGCAGATAGGCAGCGATCATCTTCACCAGTGGTACCGATGTACAGAAGACAATACATTGATGGTATCTGGCGGTGTTGCTATCGCATCTCTAGCTACCACGTGCACCTAACTCACCGCTCCTTCTCAAGCAGCTTCTCCAATCCCCATGGTATGTCGCCGTTGGCCTCTTTAGGTAATACGCAGATTGCATGGGTGATGTGAGTCAGCAGGGCGTTCTCCCTAAAGGAGCAACGAGGTCACCAAATACACATGCAATAACTAGCCTTACGCTGGGTCAATGGTGTCACTTCTACACAGTGTGGCCCGGCTAAATTCCCTACTTCCTTTAGGCTCGATATACTCTAGTAACTCCTCCGCATACGGTAACACCTATATTCCCTGTCTCGCTGTATAGCAATTTGAGTTTTCTCACATGAGGTGGCAGCGTTGCAGAGGAGAGAATGAGCTTGACGTCATTGCATAGATAATGTAGACCGCGTGTGATATACGTTAGATACTGAATAGGGGAAGCCCAAGCTGGACTCGACTGAGGCTTTTCTAGTGTACCTTCCGATCCCGTGAGCTGTCCAGCATGATGTCCGCCTCATCCATAACCAAGAGGGCATCATCGGAGCACATGGGCACATCTGAAATACATTCAAGAACTGTCATGGTGTAGCGACGATGATGCCCACGTCCTTGCCGGAAAAGGAGATACACTTGATTGCTTGTGCCGATGAGGATGTCGGGTATCTCGGCAGCCTGCTTCTGTTTACATGTAAACTCCCCTACAGTAGAGATCACTTGGCGAGAATAGTGACAAATCTGTAGCATTTCATCTCGTATCTGATCGCATATCGAGATCAATAGCCGCATTTATGAGAAAGGTGGAGAGCAGATCAGACTGAGACGTCGAGGAGCCCCTTGCTGACTCTCCTCGCCTCACCTGGTTCACGATTTCCCTGCTAGGGGCTATGACGATGCTCTGAATCTGCTCCATCCCGGGAATTGTGGACTCGCAGACGATAACACCGAAGGCACAGGTCTTACCGCTACCGGACTTAGATTGGATAATCACATCGCCCGAATTGAGACCTGTGGAATATCTAGCGCTACAACTACAAGATAATTTGAAGTGTGAACTCCGACGACTCACCTAGAGGGATGGCCTGCTTCTGTACGGGAGCAGCCTCTTCGTACCCCATCCGAGCAAGCGACCGGAGAGTAGTCGACGACAGACCAAGACTGGCGAACCCTCCCCCTGTCACCGCTGAAGGAGGCATGCCCAACGAAAAACCTCTGAGACTGTCGATAATACCACTCGACAAAGGACTTGCGCTACTCCAACGCAATCTCTAGTGAACAAAAAAGCAGTGCCATGTGCTATTACTAGACAAGTTCGCCTTGTCGGACGACCGTCCGCAAGGTTGACTGGACTAGCATCGGCATGGTATTTTCCTGCTCCTTTGGCTTTTACAGGTCTCCTTCTGTTGCGCTGATTCAGCAGGTTTAGGCTACGATTCATCCGTGTAAGCATAGCATCCGCGGATCATATGAGAGACTGAGGTACGAAATATACCGCCAATAGGGCCGAAGATGGTGAGGATGTCCAGAGGTAGGTCAAAGCCAGCACACTGGTTGCATCGTAAACCAGGTAGAGGTTATTATGGAGAGGATTCGACGTGGGAGCTCAGCGCCCAAGAGGATCGTGCATCCATAACTGTAGCTCACAACAGAACTGATCCACACATAGTTTGTAGGGCTCCTGGGGCCATGGCAATCTCGAAGCACTGGCGTTGGGGCGCACATAGCCTGCGCTCGTTTTCATACAAGCATGTGGAAGCAGCTCTCTGGCCCAGATTCATCAATCGAGGTCAATTGCTAAAATCCCGCCATCATCACCCTCAGACCCTCGACCTGCCTGGAGAAGTCTTCCAGCTAAAGTGTCAGCTTGATGGGATCGTCCACAGTGCGCATCTTGTAGTCCATGGCACAGCACTCAAGGGAGGAGTTCCACGATCACGTCGATCCGTCCGCAGTGAGTAGGAGAGGGTGACCTACCAAGCGGGAAGTACTACTGTATATGAATTTCCTGTGAACAGCACAGAGGAGCTTCTTCTGTGTCGCCCCCGTCCCCCCTCGCACGGGAATTCAAGCATCCCCTATCAGCGATAGGAGCGCTCAGCTTATATTAACGAGGAGACAGACAATGTCTAATATTTTCCTGAGATCTCATCTAGAGATATCCGTTGTTACTATCATCGAATCGTCTCATTCATCGCTACCTTACACCAGATGAGATGGGCTTACTCCAGCAGGGATACTACAAAGCTGGGTCACGAAGCCCAAAAATCCCACCCTACTGACATCGCTGTAGCCACACTATGGAAAGCTCTTAGTCGTCCTTTCGAGTACTCCTCTACCGCCAGGGGCTGCTCGTCACTCAGGGCAACGTATGGCTCGCCAGCACGTACCTGAAAACCGAAGATATATCATCAATACAAAAGAGGTAGTACATCAGTGATAGTCTACAAATGCTCTCGCATTCGACGATTACAACAGTGTACGTCGATTACTACCTTTTCTAGCAGAGTAATATAATATATCCATGCTGGGTCTCATGGCTGACGGTCGCAAACATGCTCGGCCAAACCTGGTATGATGATATCATGGCGGTAATCCACGTGATCCACTGAGATCACCCCAACATGGTTACTAACACAATGACTATGGCGTGCGGAAATGATCAGATACCCGCAAAGGCACGGTGTCTGGTGATGAGTCACACATCTATCGCCTATGCTCCCTTGGTCTTGGCTGCCACTTCGGCCTCTTTAGCCTTCGGACCACCATTGCCGAATAGCATCGTAGTAGTCTTGGTGTACAAGGAATCCACTACGTTCGAGCAGGCGTCGATTGTTGCTGAAATAAACACTAATCACTGAAGCTCACTGCTAATACTCGACAATTGAGACGGAGTGTGTGTGATCCATGGCGAGTACTATAAAGTCGCCCTCACCTAGTGCATCATCATACATGCTGCTGTTCTCCTCTGCCTTCCGCTTCTGCACCCTCTCCACCTAAAGGCCACACAGAATGCTTCCCAACAACACACCGTTAGCCTTCCTCGGCCTACCTCTAACTCATCGTACACTACCAATACGCCTATGCCCTGGTCCAGAGTTCCCAACAGGGTCTCGTCGAGGATCATCTCCGACAACCTGAAGGTGTGATCAGAATCAACACCATAACATTGCTTACTTCTTCTGAACACGACGGAGCGGCAGGTCGATGAGCTTCGCCACATGCTCTATTTCAATGCGATCAAACGGCTCTGGAAATGCATAGGGGTAATTGGTTTGATCCATATAAGTTCATCACCTATGATTTTGAGCAAGTTCTGTTCCAAAACGCTCTCGTTGAGCTCTGTCAAATGGTACTTCAGAACAGCATCATCATCTCCTAGTTCCTTCTTGTACCTAGATACAGAAACGACCGGATAACTGCAAAGTCGCAGAAATCGATGGCGCGCTTACTCTTGCATGGTACGTTCGAAATCATGTAAGCTCCTCTGCTCGTGTGCCTTAGCCACCTTCTCGAGGCCTTCGAAACATCTCCCTCCGCCGTATCTATCAATAAGTGATTCACATCAACTCTGCCAGCTCTATGCCCAGCACTACTTAAGTCCAGCTTTGCCTTTAAGGATGTTGAAGACCTCTCCTGGTTGGTCTCCCATGATCCGTGATAGTACCATGTACCTGCGTGCATTGATACCTCTCATATCCAAACTTTCTCTACTACTTCAAGGCTTGTTCCGCTCGAACCTTATCATGTTGAAGATTGAAGGCCTCGAAGGCTTCATAGAAGTACGAATACGCCGTACGATAATCCTGATAATGAATAACCTCTGGAGCACCGTCAATGAACATTACATTCTCTCGACAGCTGATAACGCCACTGAGCAAGTCCATCTCGGCCTGCATCAAGGGAGGACAGTGGATCGCATTAGCATTGGTCTTAGCAGCAGTGAGTGACGCCTTAGCTCTGGGTATATTCTGGAGGGCGAAGTGAACCTACATTGTAATACAAATAAATCCTATCCCTCAAGCACTAAGCTCCTGCTACCTTAGTCTCAATGACGTAGATCTCCACAAGCAGCAGCTTATCGTCAATCTTTTTCACTTCCTTCACGAGTCCTGTCAGAATCTCCAACGCCTTATTGTACCTAACGAGTCAGCCATGTCTGCAGCAAGCCTAAGACCCGTTCGCTTCTTACTGATGAATCTGTAGCTCCAAATCGGCAAGCCGTGTCTCCACCCGATGCCTCAGGAAACTACGCTTCGACTCACGGCACCATTCGATGCACTCCTCGCAGGCCTTTATCTGGAGGTCCGTCGCCCCTGAGCTCAGAATAATCATCACAATCACACAAAGTGATATTACCATCGATTTCAGCAAGCTTGTCTATGAGCGTCCTAACAATCTTAGCCGTCTTCGCCTTAGCCATCAAGGTCAGCACAGGACGCAACTCCTTCTGCAGCCCAACTGAACATCGACGATAATCAACTCATGAGACCCAATCGGCCAAGTACAGAGTCTCGAAGAGTCCTTCTTAGCCACAAGGCAGTCGGCCATGGCGTAGATGGAGTTCTCGGCCCACTTCACGGTATCGGTGCTCGGTTCCGATTCAAGTCTGGCTATGATCTTCTCGAACCTGACCACCAAATGTCCACCCCTTCAGGTCATCCACCTCCCACTCCTCTAGTACTACATGCTGATAGCCTTATCGTTATCGCCTTTAGCTGCCACCTCCTTGGCCTCCTCATATGCAAGTTGCATCTCGCTCTTTTCAGGCTCCTGGGAGTCCAAGTCCATCGGCTCCGGTGACTCGTTCGACATGATGATGTTCACCAGAGAGAAAAAACTCGGTCGTCGTGGTCCGGTCGCTTCCCATGGCCATGCCATATGCCTCTACTCAACTCAAGGGCCTAGTCGCATCGAAACGTCGTGTATCTCTATCGAGTACATTAACATTACAGAACATAGGAACACTATCGCTAGGTTGAACGATGAGAGTATAATACTGAACGACCAATGACCTCGAACGTAATAGGATCACGAGCCCAGATATTCTACTCGAAATGCTTCTCAGCCCACTGCTTTGAGACCTCGATAGTTTCGGCAACCTTGGATGGCTCCTGGGATTGGCCCTGAAAACCAATCCTGATGACCTCACTATTGATATCCTCGTATTACCTGAGCCTTCATGGGACTTCCACCTCCCTTACCACCACAGGTCTCCAAGCAAACATTTAGCCATTCCTTAGCACTGACCTTCTTGGACATGCTCTTAGGGACCGTTATGAGTACGGCTAGCTTAGAGCTCGAGGCGGAGACGATGCACACGGGCAACTACAGAAAGAACACGAATGGTCGATAGAACAAGCCAACACCAGCCTACCTCAGGGAGCTTCTTGGCTATGGAGTCCACTGCATTCTGCATAGCCTTAGCATCAGCCAATAGCTCATCACACTGCGTGATGAGGAACTTGCCCTCACTAGCCCCGATGCTCTCAGCCAATTGCTCGCCGATTTTTGCAGCCTGCTTCTGGACCTCCTTGGCCTTCTTCTTCTCCTCCTTGATCTGTTGTGTCTTCAGATCGTCCAGAAGACATAACATATCCTTCTTGGCAGTCAGAGAGACCTGCCACCACACGCAGTAGCGTGATGCAAGCCCAATCCAGCATTACCTCCTTCTCCTCATTGAGTTTGTTTCTGAGCTGGGCAATGGCATGGTCCAATACCTCACCCTTGAGGGCCTTCGCACTGTTGAGTTCCTCCATAAGATCAGTAGTCTTGATAGAGGCCTCAACGGCAGCCTGAGAGGAACAAACCATCTTCACCCCATACCCAAAAGCGTCCCACCTGGGGCCCAGTAGCAGCGACTATACGACGGATACCCTTAGCGATGCCCTCCTCGGCAGTGATGACGAACTTGAAGATTTCCTGGGAGTTACCAACATGAGTACCACCACAGAACTCGATGGAGAACTCATGACCAAAGTCAACCTGATGTAACAAGCTGATGATGAAACCCGGTCTTTGAGCGACCACTACCTCAGTCTCCTTCAACAAGGTATCTATCGCCTCACCAACACTGACTACTCTGACGGGATCGGGGTAGGTCTCGCCAAAGACAGCCCTAAGATAAAAGCTATCGATCCCACCAATGGTGAAGGCCCTCACCTGAGGCCACGGATATCCTTAGCCTTGGCGAGTTGGACATCATTGGCGAAGACATTAAGGTGCTTCTGGATCTACAATAGGTGACACCGGTGTGACCGTAATAGGAGAGGGTGATAATAGTGATCATGGCTCACCTGCTGATTGCAGATCTGTTCGATTTCCTTCAACTGCTCGTTAGTGATGGGCTTATTCTGGGCGAAATCAAACCTCAGGCGACTGGGATCCACTAAAGAGCCACGCTGGTCACACTTATCTCCCAACACCTGACAGTCATGGTCAAGCCACCAACAACGATCGACCCCTCCTCGTCTACTTGTCTTAAGGCGAAATTAAGGATATGCGTAGCAGTATGGTTCTTGGCGATAAGGGCCCGTCGCTGATAATCCACACTAGCTCTGACCTAAGATTACACGCTATCACGAAGAGCAAACCTGAGGGCGTATTACCTCAGAGCCGACCTTCAAAGCCGCATCGACAGCACTATCCATACTACCAATGTGGAGCACGTACTGGCCGAACCTGAGGAGGAACTGAGTACAGGTTACTCCTTGAAATTATCTTCACTCACTTCTGAGTGTTCTTTACATCGAACCTAGCACCAGTGAGAGGGTCAACAATAGTGCCAACATCGAATATCTGGCCACCCTGCTCTGCATAGAAGGGCGTTACCGATAGCACAAGGCCAATAGTCTGATGACCATGATGAACTCACAGCATCCCGATCGAGATCGTTCTCACCTTCTGAGCGTACCCCGACTTGACATCAATGGTATCTAGCCACTTCTTGCCGTCCCAGATAGCACAGAGCTGAGAGGACCACTGACCGCCTTCACCCTTAGCAGAGTCCCATCTGACACACAGATACCACAACTGCCAAACAACTACGATTTAGACTTACGCGTATTTGCAAGTCTCGTCAGTCTTGGGCACCTTCAACTCGTTCTCGAGATAGTTAGTCTGATCCGCAAACAGCTGTAGGTTGCTTCCCATGGTGAAATTGTTGGACTCCTTCGATTTCTGTCTGAATGCCTCGAACTCCTCCTCGAAGCTCTGGACGTCTACGGTCATACCTGACAATTCAACCATACAAATCCTATGCGAGCATCATATTTTCAGCTGATGGGCACACTTACCGCGTTCTTGTGCCATGACTTGAGTAAGATCACAGGGGAACCCAAAGGTGGTAAAAAGCTCAAAGGCGTCACGACCAGACAAAACCTGAGAGGTGATATTTTCGCATTGGATAGCGCATGGCGACCCACCTTGCCCTCAGTCTTGGAAGCTCTTGAGTTGAACTCTCTAATGCCACGCTCCAAGGTACGGGCAAACTGCTCCTCCTCGTCAGCAATGAGGGCCCTAAAACAGACAGGGGCTTCGTGGCTAATAATCCCAACGGTAGGAACAACTCACTGGACATCGGCCTGATTGGCGACGATCTCAGGGAAAGCCTCGCCTAGGGATTCCACCACAGCAGGCACAAGCTTGTTGAAGAAGCCAGCAGGGGCCTAGGGCGACCATTGACTGATACCCCTTATGAGGTCCCAACCTACATTCAACTTCTCAGTGCCGTACCGGACAGCTCTGCGAAGGATACGACGTAGAACATAGCCACGGCCCTCATTCGAAGGGACCGCACCATCACTGAGATGAACGGCTCTTGAGATAAGAAGACCAATGTTTGAACCTTACCTCAGGGCCACAGTGAGAGTTCGGATATGATCAGCAACCACACGGTAACCAACATCGATGTTATCGGTCAATTCGCCTGTGTAGGACCGAAGACCGGGGATCTGTAGAGAGAACTCAGTCCACTAAGCCCAAAGGGTTGCGATTCCTCACCTGCTCCTGGATAGCAGCAAAGATCGGTTTGAAAACATCAGTGTCGTAGTTCGACGTTTTGCCAGTAAGAGCCTGAGGGTACATACTCCACACTTAGTATCTCCCATAGACCACTTCTTACAGCACAAATACGCTCGAACCCCATGCCAGTATCCACGCAGGGATGAGGCAATCTTGTAAGGGAACCATCATTCTCACGGTTGTACTGCATGAACACCAAATTCCAGATCTCGATGACAGTGGGATCGTCCTGAAAACAGTCCAGCTACCACAGTAGACTGCCAACGGCTAGGAACTGACCATATTCACTAAGGCAGAGGCGTCTCGGCCACCAACATTGTCGTAGTGGATTTCGCTGCAGGGACCGCATGGACCGGTGTCGCCCATCTCCCAGAAGTTCTCTTTCATACCGAAGGGGATAACGTGATCCGGGGGCAAAAACCTAAGAGTATAACATGTGGATCTTTGATACCACACCAATGCTACTTCAGCCAGAGATCACGGGCCTCATCGTCAGCCGGAACCTCGGGTTCCTTGGGGTCACCACCATAGTAGGTAGCGTATAGACGAGCAGGGTCGAGGCCGAAACTGAGCAAGAACCTCTGAGAGCCACATTGTGGTCATTGTCATACACTTCAGTGAGGAGCTCCCACGCCCAAGGGATCTGCTCAGCCTTGAAGAAGTCACCAAAGGACCAATTACCGAGCATCTCGAAGAACGTATGATGATATGTATCCTTGCCGACCTGCATGATACGCTTGAAACGATGCGAGGCCCCTGAATATTACGTCCTCGAGATCATTGTGCTTGCCACCAGCTCTAATGCACTTCTGAGTGTTGGTGGCACGCTTAACGCCGTAGAAGGGATGGTCCTTATCCAGCTGGCCCAGGAAGATAGGCTTGAACTGGTTCATACCTGAACAACACTCAGATGTAACACAGGTGGACCTAAGACAGTACTACCAGCATTGATGAAAAGCAAGGTAGGGTCATTATGGGGGACCACTGGGCTGGACTTGAGGAAAGTGGCTCCCTTCTTCTCCACGAAGAAGTTGATGAAAGTGTCCCGAACGACACTTGGATCTGATAATCGAGGGTCAATTGGCATGGTAGAGAGAAAACGACGACGACACGTAGTCTGTACAAAGGCCTGCCGCATAAACTACACAGCATAATGCAGTGATGCCCCTCATAGCCCACAACACTACAGTAGTACTTCTATGAATTAAAATCGATCACGGTGGCGAGCGCGACTGCCCTCTGGTCCCTTCCGCGCACGTCGTGGTAAGGGCACGTCACAGGTCTGTACCTGAGGCATCTCGAATGTGCTCCGGGGTTCTTCGGACAGAGTGGGTGAGGTCTGGCGACTGTTTTCATCGTATGCGTAAGGAGTGCTGTGTGAGCATGTGTCCGGAGTCATTACGGGCCATGGGAATCCTAATCGCCGAAAGGATGTTAAGTCAGCTCATCCCTGGTAGAATGACTCAGCTAAGACTCCAGTTCATGTTATCATATCTTTGACTTTGGAGTATTCTCTACTGGTAATGGGTTGCTGCTTTCATAATGTAGTGTGATAGTGCAGGTGTCTTGTTCGAGTGGATCATTTCATAATCGCATTTTCATTTGGGAAGTATCCGTGTAGTTGTCGTCTACGGTCGTTTTTCCATTCCTTGACAAGGATGGGTGTAGCTGTCTCTTGTGTGGAGAATGCCGTCCGAGATGTAGACACTGAATGTGGTGATTGGGTAATAGTAGTCGGTCAATCGCTCATCATCGGGATGCTTGTTGTTGCAGGGCCCGTTAGCTGCATCGGTCTCGAGTGTCCAGGGTTGGCGTCGATCTATGGAGGATGCACACGTGGCCTATTGGGATGCCGATAAAAAGTAATTCCATCTTCAAGGGGTCAATGACGGTCACGGGTTGGTTCCTATCAGGATTGGCATTTTTGGAGTGTTCGATGGTCACGGTGGGCAAGCAGTAGCATTGTATGTTGCGAAACATCTAGTACCGGTTTTGACCGATCGAGAAGCGTAGGTTACCTTAATCGAGACCGTACTGGGTCACTTAGGGTCCCGATAGATACCGCCAAGGGAAGTACGAGAGAGCCCTGCATGAGACCTTTATGGAGCTAGATAGGCTTATGATGACTCAGAAGGGACAGAAGGAGGTCAGCGCGGCTCGGTTGTCGTTACCACATGAGGTTTAATCAGGTCGCTATGCTCGATAAAGAAGCGCAGGCGGCGTGTCCGGATCCTATCATACGCTTGCCTATTGATGCGGTGGGTCGTGTACTGTGTGATATACTAGGAAAACAGTGGTTCAGGTTAAGAGTGATCTGCTAGCTTTGATCGGTGGGGACTCTAGTGATGAGGACTCGGATGACTCTGATGATGATAGTGAGGATAGCAGTGTAGGAACCCTGTGGGAGTATATGCATGTAGTTGCCTCCTCAGCCCGAAGTAGCTCCTAATGAGGAGCCTAGGGATGTTGATATGAAGGGAGAGGAGGGTGCTGCTGCTACTGGTGATGGACCGGATGGACGTAGGCGGAGTACTAGGATTGCCGCTACCAGTAAGCAACGATATTATGAGGTGGGATCACCTTTATGGCTTGTTCAGAACAGCGGCCAAAGAAGGACAAGAAACAGGTAGGAGTTGTGCTATATGTCGTTATTTCAATGCTAAATTGTATGCATTCAGCTTGCACTCGACGGTATATTGTTTCTACTCGAAGTCCTCATACCGGACCTACCGAAAGACCTGAGTAAGACTCGTACATAGTCTCTCACTGTCTATGCTCTCTCTCTGTGGGTGTAGGGTCCCGTGTGGAATGTACCGATGATGGCTTTTTGGAACTGCGTCAGTCTACCTTCAATGACGTTATTGGTAGAGACTCTTCCCCTGAAGGGCAGGTAAGGTGTTTCTTAGGTGGTGAATTAGGGATGTTCATACATTCTTAGGGTTGCACTGCTGTTGTGTGTTTGGTCCTTCTTGGTGATGATGAGGAATTCCCAAGGCTTGTATGTGCTAATGCTGGGGACTCTAGGTGGGTTAGATGGCAACCTGGCCGCTGTGGAGATGCGCATCAGGTGTTTTGTTGTCCGAGATGGGAAGGCATATGATCTTTCGGAGGACCATAAGCCTTCACAGGTAGTGGTGCGGAGTGACCAGTGTGGTTATGACGTCTCGTCGCTCAGCCTGTCGAGAAGGAACGCATCACCCAGGCGGGTGGGATAATACAGCAGTGTGAAGGAGGCGATAGAGTCCAAGGTGATTCGATAGGCTCTGGCGCGATAGGATATTGGAGGCGTAGGTGACCTCAACCTGTCCCGTTCACTTGGTGATCATCGATATAAGAAGGATAAGAAGCTGTATCCTGAGTGCCAGATTATTTCGGGCATGCCGGACATCAGGTAGGAGGGATAATAGGAGTGTTGGATTATGTGGTAAATCTTCAGAGTGCGTGCATTGACGAGTAAAGATACTCATATTGTACTGGGCTGTGATGGTGTGTGGGAAGTTCATACAAATGAGGGAGCTGCTGAGAAGGTGGTGGCATTCGAGCGAAAGTTGGAACAGTAGGTTTGGTGGAGCGTTGACTGGCTCAGTGCATTTTCAGGGGCTCTACTTTGGAAGTACCGCAACCCACGAGCAGCACAGTGAGCACTGGGTATGGGATTGGGCATGGGAGAGTCTGTGGTAGGTCCACTGTATTGATGGTAGCGTGGAGGATGCGGTGACAGAGTCTCTGTGTAAAATAACGAGTTCCATGTGTATTAGTTCAGTGAGACAATCGTAAGTTGGGATAAGCACTGGCATTCGAAAGGTCGCAGGATCGATTCCCTGTTGGGGCATTTTAGGCTAGTACCTGACGAAGCTGGCGGTGAGTGCGAGGGTACAGACAACGTAACGTTCATGTTGGTTCGGATACCACCTGCATTACGGGAAGTAGGATGTTTAGCGTATTATTTGAGACCTGGTGACGGCGTCACCGCATGTGTCTCCGCACAATAGGGTAAGGCGGTCTTGTCAGGGGTTGAAGCCCCTCCCTAGCGAGATGGAAAAGAAAGAGGAGGATCCAAGGCCGGCGAGCCCGTTGGTTTTTGGAAGAGGCCCTGGTACTAAGACGGCCTGTGAAGCAGCCTTGAAGGTTATGCGAGGAAAGAGAAAACGACGTGATGGGAAGAACAAGAAGAAGAATAGACAACAACACTCCAAGAAGTAGTTGAGGAGGTTGTTTGTGGTGACACCACGACCATCTTAATTCCTACTATTCCTCGTCTACGTTGACTATTCCCTGTACATATACAGAGATGATAGTTTCTATTAGGCATGTCGCTCCTTGAGTTGGGTGAAGGGTTGAGCTTGTTTCTTGTCAGTGGATATTCACACTAGGCCTGGAGCGAGTTTCTTCTCGCTGGGACCATGGCTCAAATAAATACTCTTCCAAAGGTCCCTGGACGGATAGTAATCGGATGCTCTTCCTCGTCGTCGCTTAGTAGTAGTGTTTAGGGGAAGCTGATCAGTCGGATGGGAATACGGAGGCACAAGTATCTAGATCACTTCGACCAGGCTCCAGAGGTATCAGTTTTGAGGAGGGAGAAAGACAAGCATGCTAGGGATACTATGCTCACTCAACAGCAGGTAAGGCTGTCCGGATGATGCGTGTATGGGGTGACACTAGTAATTAGATTGGTTCCTTGTTTGGGGAGGAAGAGCGGAATGCACTGTTGGAGTCAAAGAGGGATGTTAGGAAGCTGGCTGCTGAGAAGGAGCAAGTGTTGAGATCTACTGTAGGTCATCTCAAGAGTCTACGAATATTAGGAGCTAGTATACATCTTCCTGCATACGGGGTTGCATGGGGATGCACATTACGATTTGTTCGTATTCAGGTTAATGAGGGTCTGCGCGTATACAGAGCGTTACGGCCGGATGCCCTACCTTTCTACCAGGAAGATGCTATGCTCAGTATGGGTTGCGGCGAACATGGACTTGGTACTGGTCATCAGGTATGAAGGCGAAGATGAACAGATTGAACATGATGGAGAGCGGTAGAGGTGTCGCTCCTAATCAGACAGGAGCTGTGCTACCTCGGGATAAGCTACAGGTGCATATAGGAACAATGATTCTGAGAATATGGTCCATCTGGGTTGATGATGTCAGTTGAAAAATGAAGTGGTCGACCCGTTCCAGTTCCAGTTGCCAGTAGTCAACCCAAAGGCCTTCCTGATAGCACTGGAAGCTGCATGCAGGAGTCTCTGTGATGACCTGGAGTACGTGTGGTGGCATCTGTCGGAAAGGCAGTGCTAGTGTGGAGGTCATTTACGTGTTTTGGTGACAGTATGAGGATTCTGAGCAAATTCTTAGGATTATTGTTGGTGTTTGTATACTTCTACCCTAAGTCGTGTGTGAATGTCTTTAATATAGTGAGGCAATTTTCGAGCTCGGCTAAGGAAACCAAACATATATTGTCTACTATCATGCCAGGTACATAGCATCGTGTTTGGGCATAGACGCTGAGGAGCTACCAGCTCGAGACGACCCATTGAGGTTGGTGGATCTGAGGACCATTGGTGGAGTTCCTCGTCGTAGATTCCAACGCTTAGTGGAAAGGGTCATGTTTGCATTCCCTTTACGGAAGGACCCCGCTTATGTGGATGAGTTTATGCTCAACCATTGGCCTAGGTTGAAGCAGTTGATGCCCCCTGTCATCGCTGAGTATGGTAGTTGGTAGTAGTTGACAAGCAGTTGTTCATGTCAGATTGCCGGACAGTGATGTCGCGGAGTGGCTGAGGGGGCACCTTCAACGTGTGATTCACAATCAGAAAGAGCATAAGAAAATATGGCTGCACAAGGCACCTAAGAAGGGTAGTAATAGAAGATGGTTTGCATGCTGTATGTGGCGGTGTAGGTACAGAGGAATGGTATAGTTTCGGTGAGGATTTTATATATGATACGTGAGGCTCTGCTACACTTATTATTAATGTTGCATTCTGATTGAGTTGAGGTAGGTACCCTTTACCGGCCACACTAGTGGATGATAGGAATCTCGAATTTCCAATCCAAGACTCTGGCAAATGGTTCGAGAGCTTTGCAAAGTTTTTCGAATTCGATCCTGAGGAGTAATGGCGTAGGATGCATTAGCACATGGGTATGTCTCGGCTGCTGCAGGAACGGCCTTTTGGACCAGTTCAAGACTCTTGTCCACGATCTTGAGAAGATAGGCCTCGGCAATTGGTTGAAGATGAATATTGAGGATATTGAGAAGCATATACCTAAGGGGAATGTACCACTACTTCTACTACTACTACTATTACTACTACTACTACTACTACTACTACTACTACTACTACTACTACTACTACTACTACTACTACTACTACTACTACTACTACTACCTCTTTTTTCTATGCTGGTTGACCTTTTTGACGTTAGGTGCCGTTGATAAGACAGACGACACCAGGCGACATGAATGTGGCCAGCATGATGCTTAAGGCAGCGGCTAGAGGCAAACCCAACTTGTTAGATTTCGAAGCTACAGATCCGTATAAACTCCTTCACGGCCTTCCTTCGAAATCAGTACTGTGCGGTGGTGGTGGTAACTTTGAATGGTAGCTATCGTTACTGAACTAGATACCTGAGGAGCTTGCGATGCTGCCAGAGAATCCATACTTGTCGGACGAGCAAATCGATAAGCTTATGGACCTTGGGGATGCGTCTAGGGTCTTGGCAATACAGCGGGAAAGGGACGATGATGAATTTAAGGTGGTGGTGATGATGGATGTTATTGGTCTTGGAGGCGGGGTTTAGGAGTTCGTCAGCAGCTTCTCGAAGACACCGGTAGAGCAAATTATTGAGAGTGAGGTCCAAAGCTACAAGACGATGGGACCGGTGAGCTAATTTCGTGGCGCAGTGACGTTTACTAGACGCACTGTAGGCTGTCCGACCAGATGAGAACTCGGTTGACTGGAAGTGGAAACAACCACTGAACGCTGTCTATGATGCCCGTCGCCAGATGTAGTATATAAGTGCTTGTGTATTATTGCCAGGGCACGTGGGTAGGTATCTTCGACAACAGAATGTTACGGATCCCTTACTGAACTATGAGGGTCTTAGGCAGCATTTGATGGCCGTCTCACGGTTGTGTTCTATGGCCCCCAATGGTCGGGTGTAATGCTAGGGAAGTGATAGAGACAAGTGGTATAATTCATATAGGTATTACTATCGATGCATACTGATGGTGGGTAATGGTAAAGGCGTGTATGGCTTTGGTGTTGGTTATGGCAATACCATCACTACTGCACGGGCTGATGCCGCTATGCAGGCTCTTAAGCGCCTCCAGGTCGGCACCAGGTCAGCTACTGATAAGGGTGGTAGATTAATTTCAGTTCGTTGATCTGGACAGTAGCCGAACACTGCATGCTCCGGTGATAGCGCGAGAGTACGGGCAGAAGTGCAAGATACTACCCCTGCCCGCCGAGTCGGGCATCCTCTGCAATCGACGGTGGAAATAATTCTGTGGCGCGCGGTAATTTGAGCTGGTGTGGTAGATACTTGCCTTGGGTGTACATCATGGGATTGCATAATGTGGAATTGAAGTTTGAAGGAGAGCTCTCGTGGTTGTCGAGGACGAGGGCCATCACTCGGACCACCAGCATGATAATGAGTCGTCGAACTGTTGCTAATGGTGAAGGCAAAAAGTACTATATCACTATCCTTGGCCGTCTTTGCTACTCTGTGCTTGTGATTATTCAGATATGCCCATTTGATGGCCCCAGGGGACCATTGGGTTCACTGGCCTGACCGATGGTTTAAGGAAGTCCGCAGACGGTATGACCAGAAGGGCCATATGATACGCCACGAACGGAGGTCAGCAGTTACTACTCGTCCATTATAGTGTAGTTGCTCTTGCAATAGGCATCTTCTCCATGGTAAAAAGCGGGGTAATATCCTCGTGTCACCACTAGAGGTTCGGCCAGGATTCACTAGGTGACTCCACTGTGCCCGTTGATATGTTGTTCATCCACTAGATGTAGATTTGGCTGGCAGCCGGTGATGAACAAATGGCAGTGGCATTTGAATAAACGGAGACAACAGTTTAATTTGGTGAAGTCACTGACCACCGAGGAGAACGTATTGTTCCCCACTCCGGGTTCAGGAAGGTTCATGGCCCCTAAGGTAAGTCCTGGGCAAGGGTGATGCTATCATATGAAATGGATCTCAGAGTAAAACCGATGTTCGTGGTAATGCGTGACATATAGCATGATTGTTTCTCGCGCCTACAATACCTTTGGGCAAGTTTCTGAGTGTGGGAGTTTTGCTGTTGGGGGTTGTTGACAGTACGTATTGTTGGTAGTTGTTGTTGTTGAGCCTATCCCTCCGTTGAATAAACAGTGAATGATGGACCACTTTGGTGAGCCATCTTCGGTGCCGCAACCATCGCCGGTTGTAGCCGCCGCCGCCGCCGCCGCCCCCGACCTTAATAGCAACGTCGAGGGCAACAACCAAGAGGATTGGGGTGCGAATTCTGCTTTCGCTGGTACTGGCTTCGGGGGGGAAGAGGATGCGGATATAAACAGACGGCCATCGATGGTAAGACTATTACTGAAGAACTCAGTAGTACACTTTGAGGAGGAGACGGAAGGGGCGCCTTCTAGTCTGGCGGAAATGTGTAGACAGCGGAGTCAAAGTGATATGACGGCTAATAAGACCGATGCATCAGTTCTGATAGGGGAGTATGATCCTGCTACACAAGAGCTGCAGTATGTTAATCCTTATAGGATTGATGATGCTTTTGGTAATGATGGTGGCTTTAATCTAGGCCCCTTCCCTTCTTATCTACCCGGGGCATCTAGGCGTAAACCGCAACATCAGCCGGGGCTAGAAGGTATAGAAGAAGTTAATGATGATGATGAGGAAGAGGGCCTATTAGGCTCATGCCCCTCACCTGAACCGGCTTCTGCCAGTATGCTTGCTCAGTTAGGTGGATTGTTAGTGAGTTCACCATTCGGAGCAACAGTCCAAGATACCCCTTCTACTTGTGTGCCGGAGTCACTTCCAGCACAGCTCTTCGCGGCCTCAGGACCATACAGCCATGAGGACCTACCTCAGCAGCAGCAGCAGCAGCAGCAGGAGGAGGAACAGCAAGAAGAGTCGACCTCGCCTCAAAAGAAGTTGCAGTCGAGCCAGAAAGGAGTCTCTTCTGGGCCCAGAGCTAATACGCAGCAGCCTGTGAGGAAAGGTGGAGGACCGATAAGACACAATAGGGAGACTACCCCTCATGAAGGGCCGAATACGACGGTTATGTTCCGCAATATCCCTAATAGATTCTCACCTGAGGCTCTACGCGAGGTTATCAGGGATAAGGGCTTCGCTATGAGTATGGATTTCTTCTATATGCCGATGGACTTCCAAAATCAGTGCAATCTCGGATACGCCTTTATCAACTTTGTCAATGTGGAGGAGCTTGAGAAATTTAGTCGGGAATTCCATGGGCAGAAGTTACCTTTATATAAGTCCCATAAGGTATGCGAAGTGTGCCCAGCCAGAGTGCAAGGATTGAAGGCCAATGTTGATCATTTCCGCAAGTCTGCGGCACGTGGTACTATCCCCGATGAGTACAAGCCGGTCTGCTTCCGCAATGGTCTCATGGTGCCCTTTCCCCCACCAGAGAGGTCCTCTCATCGCACATCGGTGAGTAGTAGCAGTGGGTATGGTGAGGATCATAGGAGAACTTCTAAAAGCTCTACTTATAGTACTGGCAGCAGCGGGCGTGGTGAAAATAGAGCTAGCGGAATGCGTGTGGAGTCGTAGGAGGAAGAGTGGAGGGTATTTGCCTGATGGTTATTTGCTGATAGTCAGTATACGATTGGGTGTGAGATTTATCAGACCTCCACCCGTACGTGGTTGTTGTTGTTATTGTACTAGGGGCAGCATGGATATACTGTAACATATTATTTACAAGTGCTGCGAGAGGTGTGGCCACTTGTGTCACGATTAGCGAGGCCACTATGGTATCCGCTCATTTTGAAGGTTGACGACGCAAGGCGATGACTGTGTTGTTGATCTCCTTACCGCTTTACCACTGGTGCTGCTGATGATCTTCACCTCTCTATTGCTTCCGTTATACCCGTCTCAATCTCTACCTAAGTTGATTTGCTGCCGTTCTATGATTTTGAGTTTTCATGCTACGACTATTACTACTCCTAGCTTCGCCGCAATATTGGTTCGATAAGAGTGTATGTTAAATACGCACTGAGTGATACTTATTGTAGTAGCTACTAATGTTGTAATCAATACATTGGCTCCCAGTATTGCTATGGACTGGTGCTGGGAGGGGAGTAGTAGAGGTCGAACTGTATCACACTTGATTCAACTATATGTACCCGGTCTCGAGGTGTCATGCCCTTCCCCCGTCTGCTCTTGGTTATGCCAACGATGACTTCTTTATAGCCAGACAACCATGGGAGGGGATGCTAATCTCTTCGCCGCAAGCCAAATTGTTTTGATAGTAACCCTCAACTCAATCGTCACTATAGTGTGTTGGCTTCGTCAATATATGGCGAGTGATTCATGAGGCTGTGTGGATCATTAAGAGGTCTCTTGAGTCGATCATTCTTGTGGAATAACACGAACAGCACCCCTCCGCCTTTCTATATAACAAGTCAAGATCTGGATAAGGGCTAGACTGAATCGCCTCTTAACCAATGTTAGCTCACACTCAAACCGTGGATACTCGAGCAAGCACTGTGATACTCCTTTCGCGATGGCGGGATCGGACACAAGCATAGTATGCAGAAGCTGTCTCAATATCGATAAGATCATCCTCACGTGCATGATGGCTACTGCCTAGCAATACATGCAAACTCACACTGGCGAGCTTCGCTGAGGTACTGACCCCTGGGCTGGGAATCTTCTTGCGCATACATCGGACACTGGCACCAAACCATCGGCTTGAAACTATGGGCAGCCATAAGTGGGGACGTCACTACAATCATGCCATTGTTCTCCAAGATGGGCGGAAACTATCGATTATGCTACTCTTCTGATGACGAATTGGAGCTCGTTCATAGAGAGCGTTTCCATTTCAGTACTACACATGACAACTTCCATCAGACCCAAAGTCTGAGGAACCCTGCCATCATGTCCTCCAAACTTTGGAGTCCAAAGTCGGAGGACATGACCATGGGTTGCCATTGGCGAGCATAACAGCAGGTTGCGTTGAAAGTTCCATGGAAGCGTTTCCACTAGAGTTCGACTAGGATGCCGTTGGGAAGGGCCTCCTCGCGGAAGGACGGGGCGTGATCGCAACTAGTGACTATCCTCACAGTCATGGTAATTGAAATGTTGGAATTTTGTGTTAACTAGACCAAAAATTATAAGGTGCTCAAAATGAGTTAATCTGTTGATTAGCTGGCGCTTTCGCTTCATCGATGAGCGAATCTGCCAGCAGGCAACTGCCTCTAGTCCCCTCGGGTGCCGTCCAGTATTAACAAACTGTCCTCGCGTCTTCTACGCAATTCTCGAGTGTACGGAAGAAACAAATATAATCATATTTAACACATATATTAGCAGTCAATAGTACTGTCATCACTAGACACTGTACTGGCATCTTCAGTACTTACAGTCGCATCACAGGCCGAGGGGGGTTCTGAGTTGGCGCTTAGCTCAAACACAGTAGGAACTGCAAACGGTATAGAAGAGTAACTCCATACGACGGGTAGAAAAACTGGCTCAAATGCTACAAAAAGAGGTAGAGTTGAAGCTATATTGTGATGACTGTGAACCATCGAGGACGCATCAGCGTTGCCGACACCGACAACTTCTGTATCTTCTTGTTGAGTTTGATTGGGAGTTCCCTGTGGAGAACTGACGACCACCACATCACGCGCATCAGGGTCAGCTTGCTCATAGCTCATCATTTCAACAACCTCGGTCGCACTGCCATCTCCTGTTGTTGTAGTCGCAGACGCTGGACCATGTGCGGTGCCCAAAGAGTCCCCGACCCTTGTTTCGGTCTCTCGAACATCTTCGGACGATAGTTCCCCGCCAAGAGGAAGATCATCACTTGTAATTCCGTCGGTCGTACTCGATGGACTCCGCGTTTCATGTAAGGCATCGACAACGGAAGTGTCAATCTCACCCTCATCAATGGGGTGTGTATCCTCCACAACCGAGATGCTCGCGCCAGTCGGATCACCAATTTCCATAAACTCTTCACTAACACTCTCGACGGTCTTGGCCTCGGGGGAAGCAACGGACGTTGTCGACAGATCATCGTCCACCGCAAGAACGGTGACAGACGGTTGCTGTGTTGTTGTTCCCTCATCGCTCGTCATCGAGATCCCCTCTTGCTCGCTTGAATAACTCTCTCCTGGCTGCTGAACCGCTGTTTTTGCAGCACCATTATCCACGGGAGGTGGAACCTCCACGGTAGATGCACTGTCAGCATCCACCGAGTCCGCATCATCTTGTTTAGCAGACGTCCCTGTTGCACATTCATCCGGGGTTATCTCTGCAACCACCTCCACCGAGTCGAGAGCTGTGCTACTCATTCCGTCAGCACCAACAGTGGTGGGCTCTTCCATCCTGGCAGCATCCCCTGTCTCCTCCCCAGTCTTATCAAAAGCTGTTCCACCAGCAGCAGTAGTCGCTAGCTCTTCCCTCGCAGTGTCCACTACCACTTCGGACTCTTCCGGAGTCGAGCGGATAGATGTGCTTTCCGCTAAGTCAGCGGTACAAATCGTGGGCTCCTCTCTGTCAGGAATACCTTCATCAGCCGTTTGCTGCTGCATTGAGCTCTGGTCGTCGCCCTTCGTAGCCTCCTCTTCTCCCTCTCCAGACAAGCGTCGCAAAGCTCCACTGAACAAGCGCCTCTCTGAATCATCTTCCCTCGCTTTCCGTCGCATCCTCCAGCGCGTCATCAAAGTATCCTTGGCCTCCCTAACTCGATCGCGGTACTTGCGGTAACTCTCCCTGACCTTCTGGGCCGTTGCTATCAGCATGTCCGGCAGAGGCCTTGAGGTGGCCTCAGGGGTGGCATCGACGGACGGCTTGGCTGATGTCTCCACATCGGCGTCGCTCATCGAGAACGGCACTTCCACTTCGACCACTTCAAATGGAACCTCGACCTCGGCTGCTTCTTCTGATGGTACCGACTCTCTGTGCTGCGAATCAAGATCACTTTCAAGCGTTTGAGGAGGCGTAGCTTCTTGTGGCGTTTGTTCTTCACTAGGCTCAACACTCGCCTCACCCACCGGTGTCGTCAATCCTCCTCCTCCTCCTCCAACTCCCTCATCTCCTACGACCAACATCTTCCACGTTGCGTCCACTTGGGGGCTCTCCTCAACTGAGGGCACATTCTCCTCGTTATGTACTTCTGGAGTTATCCTCTCTTCTTCCGAGGCTCGAGGTTCATTCACAGACTCTGCACTCGGTATTGCAGTCGCTTGCTCGACAGAGGGCACTGCGTCCTTCTCCTCGTCCTCGATGACCTCAGCCGATTGATCCCTGCCATTAGTGATCTCGGGGTGTTTGGCGAAGGGGTTGAGACTTCGAGACACGACACGCCATGCGGAGTCACTGAGAGCTGCTTGCAGCTGAAGGGGAATACTGAGGCATTAGACTTTCCACTGACTCGTACTTCCTTATCCGCTGCAACCTCTGTCAACCTCTCCTTGAGCACTTCAGAGGTGGCAGGGTCGTTGATGACACCCTGCGTGACCCGAATGGCCACTTCTTGAACGGTGTCGTAAACCATCTGGGATCTGGGAAGGATAGGGAGCCGATCCCAAGGGGAGAGAGCGAGAGTAATGATGGCACCTGAGGGTATCCGAAGTCGTCTGGTTTAGCTTCTCCTGAACATCTGGCCGTATGACGAGATCACCCGTCCACTTAGCGGCGGCATCTTGAACGACTTGCATATAGATGGTAGAAACCACCAAGGATGACACTTGTTGGATAACTGATCATACTGCAGTCCACGATAGGAACTGCCTTGAATGAACTCACTATAGGGGTCTTTGCATAAACCAGCAACAAGGTCCTTAGCGGCCTGTTGTACTGCATTAAGGCGGATAACCTTTGCCATCAAATCTCCGATGTCATCTGAGTTGGTGTACAGATAGAGTCAGTGGAGTAGGTTAGCTCACTCTGCATGCCATTGAGGAGCTGCATGAGCCAGCCACCAGCAACCCCTCTCAAGGACTCATCGGCCAGGATCTGCTCCAACATCCGCCGGACGGTAGCCTACGATAAGAGGGGAGGAGCATACAAGAGAGGGGAGTGTTGTGATACCTCAGCAGCATCCTGAAGGTCTTTGTTACTGATGGTCTCCCGAACAACACTTGCTCCCTGAGTGCCGACCTGACAGATGATGAGATTGGACCTGTGACCTCAAAGCTAGAGGCAGTTACTGATGATGTTATTCTCTCACGATTCAGCCACAAGGCAAACAGAGAGAAGCCAACTAGGCCAGCTGCTAGTTGTAGCCGACGTGAACGGACCTATACAGATAGTCGGGATGACAACGGACTCATCGAACTTAGAAAGGCAACAGCAACAACAACAACAACAACAGCAATAATACGAAAGGGTTTGTTGTGAATCCTTGCAACTTATGTAAACTCGTTATGGCGCTGTATTATACAGGAGAGGTGTCACGCTGAGTGATAAGGCCTGCTTACCCCAGCCATCTTCACTAACTGATCGACTTTATTAGCCACTGCCTCCCCATAAGAGGAGTGGGGAGCCGAGTGGGGAGCCCTCGGCGCTACGACGACCGGCTCCTTATAAAAATGTCGAGGAAAACGATATGACCTAGAGGCAAGAGGTCGCATATGAGCAGCAACATGCCGTCTTAAAACAGGAGTGGTTCTTCTAAGCATCGTTAAACATTAACAGGAAGAAACTACCGAGTGGGATTCATCAACAAAGCATGGGGAGGGTTATGAATCCGATCGGGAGCTCAGTCGATCCTTCTTGCATTCTGTCAGCGTCAGCCGGCTTGCAGAACTCACTGGGCAGAACTCAACACCCAAACGAGATGTGATGAATCTCACCTCCTCGAACATGAGATAGTTGGCGAAGCACTGAAGTAGTACTCCAGTTGCGTGGTATTTGGACGACATCAGCTTGTGATAGAAATGGTCGCCTTCATGGACATCGAAGAAACTTAAAACATACAGAATTATTATGATAGAGAAAAAACGGAAAGGAAAAGGGTGAATATCCGTTATTGAATAGTTTCTCAAAAGATCATCATGCTAGTGGTGTAGCCCATCACTGAGTGGTCGGAGCAGGGGCGTGCACAGCCTAGAAGGTCTCCTGTTTGTCAGCATAGATCTGCTGTGCGAGTACATGGTTCTCATAGGTGACGAGTGGATTACTGAAGAAGTGGGCAATCGGCTCTCTGTGATGATGATTGAGAGCATCTTCATCACGTATGAGGGCCGTGTGTTGCTCCCTCTCCAGTGTGCAGGAGGGCAGACCAGACTCCTTTACCCTGTTGGCATTGTCCAAATTAAACTCGTTGTGCATCAGGGAGAGATCATGTGCCGTGCAATTTTCACGGTTTCCCAGGCATGCATCGGCCTTGCTCTTCTCCCACACTAAGCGGTCAAATTCCCCCTTGTTCGCGTAGCCAGGCTTGCCATTCGGCGGATAAGATGTGACCGTCTTTACAACAGCACCAGCAGAATGGTCGTAGGACTCCTCGGAAGAGGCCGCCGCCACCTCAGCACGGCTCGGCAGGACCACTGGAGTTCTACGAGGCTCCCCTCCAGTTGGCTGAAGCCCCCCCTTCGACGGAGCTGCAGGATGATCGTGTGCATACTGTAGCTCAGACGAGGTATCATCACGATGTGTGACCACATCAATCACTTTACCAACCTCTGTGGCCTGGTGCGACAGACCAATGATAGGCTGGTGGTTGAGAGGCAGACGAGGTACCTGCCAAACAGCAGCCATGAACGAGTTTGCCTCTAAATACGAGAATTCCCCTTCAGATAACGAAATGAAGGGAACTACTCCACTAGAATCGCATACTTCTACGACTACCGGGTGTATTTGGACTTACACGTTCATGCAGGATAGCATCTTTAACAGTATCGTGTTTATGACTCAACTCGCTCTCCAAGCCTTCAACTGTTGGATACACCTGCGAGAGGATGATACGATCATAGTCTTGGGCTAGTTGTCTTACGTCCCCAGTGGAACGGCCACGGGAAGGTTGCGAGGGAATATCTTCGAACATTTGTGGTATTGAATAAATAGAGAACAGAAAGTAACTGTCAAGTTGCGATGAATGACCACAAACAGAGTCGGAAATAGACAATCCCAGGACGCTGGTATCGAGAGCTGTCATGCACTGTTACACCAAGATCATCACTCAAAATGCTAGAAATATATCGCTATGCGCATGCGTGCTAATCGTCATCACATCTATCAACCCTATAATAAACCCTTGGAATTCATGTGAAGTGGAAGCGATTATTATCGTACGACATATGGCCGCGGGAACACAACATATCTTCCATGAGGGCTGGAGGCCCTCGAGGGAAGCACGATTACTTCCATTATAATTCAGCTTGTAGGTTATGATAGGAAGAAGCAGTTAGTGAACATTTTCAATGATGTTCTTCCACATTAGAGAACCAGCTCTTGAGGGATTCGAGGAACTGCTCCCCTTGAGGAGGATATATATTAGTACTGTGACCACCCCCTCGAATTGGAACTTTAGTGTAGTTAACACTATCAACGCAGTCTGCCAGCTCCTCCATTGCATTAGGAGATATTTCCCAATCCTTAGTGCCTAAGATGAGACCAGTTCAGAGAACCCATTCGCAGTTAACTCACCATGCAAATTCACAATGGGTATTTGCGGGTCACGACCTTGTAAATCTCGCAGTAGCCTGGCCGTATCGAAGCGGAACTCCGAGCCCTGGAGGGCGAACCTGAACAGCCACTCAGTGGGATTCATGCTGACACGGAGGATGTGGTCTGACAAGAAGCCCCATCGGATAATGCCCAGCCTGATGGACCGAGGGAAGATCCATAAGAACCAGGTAGAGATATGGTCAGCTGCGACTTCCTCAAAGGTAGGGAATGTCGATTCCAATATCACCCCGCTGACCTAGACAACAACAGTCACTGACTCGAGTAAGGGTGGACAAGAGGTCTCACTTGCTGGTTTCTATCAAGTGCATGGAGAGCCGCATAGACGGCCTCTGGGCCTCCCAAAGAATGACCATACACATAAAGAGGTAACTAATGGTGCTTTTGACGATGAGTCGGCTCATCCGCTGACTACTACGTTTAGTTCCCTCGAAACATTATCGATGGCCCAGTCAGTGACCGTCCTGATATCCTCGGTGATCCCATCAACATAAGGGAACCCAGTAGAGTCTCCGTACCTAGACTCACTCCGAATGTGAACTGTGATGATGTTGTGAGCTGCCCACCCTCTCAAATCAGCAGTGACAACATGAGTATCCATGTCCTCAGCAAGATGTCGATAAAGTTCTCTACGATGACCATGTTCTCTGGCACCAGCTTGACCATGGGAAATACCTACAGCATGGATATTTGCAGCAGAACCATGAGCAATCGGTCTAATGCCACCCAATGAGCTCACACA